AAGCTGTTTCTGTGTGAACCTCCAGAGCACCATGTTGGTGGGCTTTTTTAAGCCGTGTATCTGACTGTCACCATGAATGACTCTGCTCTGCTCAGTACAATCCTGTTCCTGGCTATTATGCTAAATAATCCTGCTATCTGCCCCCTTTTCCCCTGTCTCTAAGAAGCTGAAGGGGAAAATGACTGTTGATAAGTAGAATTCAGTCTTCAACAACTTCTTTGTTGAAGGTGAATCTCACTGCTTGTGTCATGGATTTCAGTACTGAGAGCTCATTTCATCTGAGAGCTCATTCATATCGGATGTCTCGGGGCACTTGCACTTAGGGCCTTGTGTTTCTTGGAGTTTGCCTTTAAAATCTGGATGACTGGTGGGTAAATGGAGTGGCCGTCATCCCACAGGCTCCTGAGGTTATGGGAACAGGTGGGTATTGTTAGGTGCTCCTTAAGAGCCCAAACAATCTTAATATACCCTGGTTTTCTTTTATTTCTCCCAGTCTTGCTGCGTACAGATTGTCCTGTAGAAATGGAGCAATAGGGTTCCCTGTGATCAGCACTTACTTATCTTGGGTTCGATGGCAGCTGTTGCTATGCTTTCAGTACTTCTGTTTCCCAAATGTTGCCACTACGTGGTAAATGCCAGCCTTGTGTGGTCTGGACAGGCCAAATGTTAAGACCAACCATGAGCTTCCTCCCAGGCAGTGAAGCACTCTGCCCTGAAATTGCTGTCTGCTGCGAGCTTCCTCGTGATCCTCGTGTGGATCTGGTCTTAACCCTTCTCCAGTTGAGCAGGCTGTGGGAGGCTGCTCGAGTGTGCCTCTGGCATTAGAATAGCATAGGGCAGCTGATGGCTTGGCTTTTCCACTATAGAAACACAGTGCAAGGTTAGTAATGCACTGTAAGAAAACACGTTAACTAAAATTATTACCCTTAATTGTGTAGATCCTGCCATTCTTTAGCTATCAGTCCTTTCATCTAGGGAGGCTGAGAAGAGAGGACTTCTCAATTTAGAATAGGCTTATATGCCAACATCTCAAAGTTAAAACTCTTGCTTAATTTCTTTGTTCCCTACATATTTCCTCTCCAACCTCCTTGCTGTACTAGGGTCATCTGGGGATAGAAATAGGTAACTCCTATTTTAATGTGTCAGCCCTGTGAATCTATAAATGGAAGCACTTATTTATAACTCGGTTACCCAGCCTTTATCTCCCACCCCATTTTTAGAAAATAACTATACTTCTTGTTTCCCTTTGCGCTCATCTCGCTGAGCATTTTCATCTTCACTGTTTTCTGGATTCCTTAGTGTCTTCACATATTGCTGCTGAGGTGTATAAGGCTAGTATCAATCATGGCACTGGCCCAGGTTGCCCAGGGAAATTGTGGCTGTCCCATCCCTGGAGGTGTTCAAGGCCAGGTTGGATGGGGATTTGAGCCACCTGGGCTGGTGGGATGTGTCCCTGCCCAGGGCAGGGGGTTGGAACTAGATGATCTTTAAGGTTCCCTCCAACTCCAGCCGTTCTGTGATTCCATGTGACTGATGCTACTCTATGCAGGGAACACCAGGAAGGATATCGGCTTATCCTAGGAAACCAGTGGGGTTTGGTATGAGAGCAGCTCCTCCTGAATTCGGTGATCTGTAGCCTCGTCCAAATCAGAGCAAAGAAAATGGTCAGGCAGCTGCAGTCATACGTTAAATCTTTCAGGCAGGGGCTTTTATCTTCATAGTGCCTCGGGCCCTCTCTACTTGCAAATGTGAATGATTCAAAGTCCTGTTTGTGAGCTACACAACAAGCTGCTCCTTTTTGCCAGCATCCAAGCAATAAAAATAGTTCCTACTTGGTTTCCCAAAGTATTCTTGCAAATAAATAAGTATGAAAGAGGCTGCAGAAAAACATGTACCAATCTGTCAAAATGCTACGAGCCTTATGTTTGTAGGGAGGCTGTTTTGGAGAAGGCTAATGGTTAGAAAATGAGTTTTTAATCTGATGATAAAATGCAGTACAGCAGTCCTCTGTCACTATTCCAAGAACACAGCTGATGCACAAAGTATACATGGTAAACAACTTAAAGACGGTTGAATTTGCTGAGATGAAGGGAGGTAAAACTGATACGAAGTTGTCTGTCTCTTGCACCTGTCTTGTTTACTTTTTTGCACTTTCTAACCATTAACTGTTTCCCTAATCTCTGCTAATTACATCCTTAATTGCATTAATATGCATTTTCAAATCTTAGCAGGAGAGCCTAAATTTTATAGTGTTGAAGCAATGTTTTGAAGAGCCACCACCAAGTTGTAGGGAATCAGTACACTGTTCTCTCCTAGACGCGAGGCTGAGCTTATGCTGTACTTTACCCCTAAAGTACAGTAGTAGCTTTATAGCGTTGTACTCTACCCTTTGCCTACGCATTTATCTCTGTAGTTTAATGACTTCTTCAAAGCTTTCCTACTGCTTCCCAGAATGAGCTGCGTAACTTGGAAAAGGGACATTGTTAGGTCACTTGGGGGCCAAACTCACAATGTAATGCCTTGATTAGAAAAACACTCCTAAAGTTCTTCAAAACTTGAGCTCAAACTCTGTAGTACGGAACTCAAAAGTAAAAATTACAAAGAAGTGAGACTTGTCTATTGCCACTAGTCAGACAGAGAAAGGCAACATCTCTCTCAATGTGTTTTAATTCTTTTTCACTGCAGTCTTCTGTAAGAAGGGCTGGCTCGCTGATAAAGGGAGCTCTGCTGCAATCGGAAGAGCTGAGCCATAATGCAGAGGATTCCAGGCTTTAAGAACAAAGTAACCTGAGAGTGTCCCTTCAATAACAGAGCAGCCATTTACCAACCTTAACATTCTTTCTTCTGTCACTGTTGATCTTAGTCTTGCTTGTATAATGATACTTAGCATTCATCCTTTCATTAACTGACGCCTTTTCTTTCTTTCCTTTTCAGCAATACTGGAGTAATCGCTTCCTAAACAATTTTGCAGAAATGTAAGGTTGTTTTGTTGCGTGCATGTGTTTTTAGCAACACATCTACCAAAACTTCTGCATGTATCATGTGTAAAGGTTCTTTGCTTTCCCTAAAACAAAACTCATTGTTTTCTCTGTGGAAGAAATGTGTGGTACCATTAGGACTTCATTATACAGATGTACAAACGTGCAATATAGCTTACCGAATTGGGAACTCTCTCCAGAGAAGTTTGATTTCTGTGCTGCATGGAGAAGAGTTTGTTTATCCTTGAAAAAGAATCGCGGAGCTGTCAGCCAATTTTCCATATTTCCGTATGTAAAATGTCAGTTTATAAAATGTACAATATCAAAATAATGCATGCCTTCGGTTGTAGACAAATCTTTCTCTGTATTGTATCATCCAAACATACTACTCTGTAACAGCTTATGTACAATGCTCTCCTATTTATAAAATTCATTGACAAGATTACAGATGAATGTTAAACCGTAAGCCTCCAGTTCATAACTTTGGATTTTTTATCATGTGTGCAAATCGACCTATTTTGCACTGTAATGTAACTTATTTAAATCTAAGGCAGTAAGACAGATGTTGGTGCAATACAAAATATTGTGATGCATTTATCTAAAAAGCAACAACCGACTTAGCCAGTTCCCACAACTGCATGTACGACCGTTAGAAGTTGTAAATAAGATCGATTGTCTATCTACATGCTGACAGTAAGAAGCATCACACCTAGTTTCATTTGTATCAGGTAAATAAATTTATTCTACAATACATACTTTGCGTGTTATTTTATGCACTTTGTTTTCTGCAGGTACATGCGTACATACTTCAGCGCGCTCTTATATTAATGCCAGGATGACACTTATTAGCACCAACACCATTGCAGTCTTTCCTCCTAGAACT